GGTAGGCAACCATAAGATGGCAGAACAAGGACTTTGGTGTGTCTGGTTTAAAATGGAACAGAACAGCTTTGGGTGATAGCAGAGTTTCTATTGGCTTTTATTGAACCGTTCCCTCAGTCCAATAGCAGCTCTGCCTTCATGTCCACTGGTATCCCAACTTGTCATTCGAATGCTTTCCTGAACGATTTAAAAGTGACCCCATGTCAAATTTACAGAAGCATGGTTTAAAGATTCTATTTTTTCTTTTCCCTCTTGACAGTTTGGCAGTAATGGAACTGGCGCTTTCAAATACAGGCATGTTCTGCTGTCCTAACGCCCTCTGCCCTTCAGTGCCCTCAAGCACAGCGTAGTGTAGGGCTTAGAATTGTGTATATGTGTATACGTGCGTTGTCTTTAAAGTTTGGTCCATAGGAGCTGAACTCCTCCTGGTCTGTTTTGAAGTGAAGTCTAAGCACCTGTCTGTGAGCTTAGGGTGTTAAGCAAACTGTTCAAAGATGTGTGGAGACGCTACATCAGCAGTGCTACACAAATCATTGCTTTGGTTAGCTGGCAGGGACAAGGAACTGGATTCCAGTGAGCAGCAGTGCCAAGAGGAGAGGGGTAGGAGTGCTTTTTCTTTGGAGAATACGCGCTAAGGGGCTGTAGATATGGCAGCACAGGCTGCATGTCTGGCCCGGAGTTAGGGGCTGCTGTCACTAGTGCCTAAAAGCTGAAGTCAATACCATGCTTGGAAATGACCGCTGAATACTTTCTGGGTAGAAGAATAGAAAAAGTCCTTAAGCAATATATTGCATACAGAAATAGGATTCCTGTAAGCAGAGAAGCTGCCATGAGTGGTGTGGTCTAGCTTCAGAAGTAGCCCAGCTTTGAGCAAGGGTTGAATGAGATACCTCTAACCTGAACTATTTGCTAGCGCAACTTTTGTGCTTGGCTGTGGTGAGGTGGGCCCTGCGGTGGGCCAGCAGTGTCTGGTGAGATGCCTGACACAGGGTTTTGGTAGGTGGTGGGGAACGCCGGGGTCTGACTGTGATCCTTCAGCTCAGGAAGGGCAGAGGCTGTGGCAGGACCAGCGTGGTGTGCTGTGCCTGCCCAGTCCTAAAATACTAAATACGCAATTAAATGTGAACTGGAGGCAGATTCGAAGAGATGTGGGCCAGGCTGCTGCAGGCCAGCGTGAGTCAGCAAGGAGCACTTTGCCCCCTGTGTCAGTCCCAGCCGGCTGCTCCGGGGCCAGCAGGGAATCAGCAGCAGAAGCCCTTCACCCTCTGAGTCAACACCGGCTCCATGCTGGAGGCCGGCACCCGGGAGTGCCGTCTGCCCGCCCTTTGCTTTACTGTGCCAATACTGACTTCAGTGTCCTAGCGTGGCAATAGTGGCTGACGCAGGCACCTGGAGAGGGACAAAATGCCCTTCCCCATCTGACCAGGTTAACATCTGTGTTGTGAGGAGGCTCCTGCGTGCAATTCAACCCCAAAGCTAGAGCCCTCACTGCCTGGCATTAAAACTTCCGCGGTGTATTTCAGTGACGAGGTGCCAGGAATTGTCCGGCTGAGGTGACTGTATTCCTTGGGCTTAACTCAGCTTTCTACCATTGTTTCCAGATGGCCTTTGCCAACCTGACTGGGCGCATATGATGGCTGCGCTGCTCTGGAGGCAGGTGGTGTGCCTTGCCTTGCCTTGCCCTGCTGCCGGCCTGTGAAAGCGTAGTGTGCCATGGCCACAGAGCCTCCAAATGGCACGCACGGCCTTCTTGGCTACCGGGTGCTGCTAGGGCACAGGGTAAGGGTCAGCACAGGCCATTTACAGTCTTCCTGATAAATCTACCCTTGAGGCCAGGAGCAGCGTGAGGGAGCCAGGCGATGCCAGTGCTACAGGGCCTGGGAGGTTTGTGGTGCTGTTGCAGTACCACCCGGTGGGACAGCCTAAATAACCGGTGCAGCCCTCCCCAAAACCTCCCCCTGAGAAGGCTTTGCTGCATGTGCCTGAAGAGCATGCAGGGATGTGGAGGGAAATGGCTTGAGGTCAAACAAGAGTCCCCTAAAGTTACAGCATGGATCTGGGCGACCTTACCTGATAGCCCCTTTGCTTGCTTGGTGACTGTGGTTGTTCTCCATTTTTATGCTTTTCTTTCCCCCGCTCCCCATTCAAAAGAAGGAGGTGAGGTGCATTTGCCTCACTGGGCAGAGGTGTAGCCAAACTGAATTCAAGGCTGTTGAGACCTGTGCAATCCTTGGACAGCACCGACAGTGAAGCATGAAGTATGGTTCAGGGTTGAATTTTGACAGCAAGCAAAAACTCTGGCTTGAGAAGGAAGAATTGAGCTATCTCCTGATGTTTGAGCACAACCTAGTGTATTCTAATCAAATCAGCAGCTAGATCCTGAATTTGCATTTGAAATGCCTCAGCTATGTTTGGAGTTGTGTTTCAACAGCAAAAAGCTCATGAAGCTACACTGTGACTTCCTTCTCTGTCTGCTGATTGTATTTCCCGTTTCTTCATGGTGGAAAGTTTGAAGCCCTGTCAGGAAGTAAGCCTTTTCCCCATGAGACTGTGAGTCTCCCGTTGGCCAGGGGCAGTGTGGAAGCATGCAGAGGATTAATTTGACTGAAATCTCAGCATGAAATTTGAGGGCATAACTAGGTTTCAGCAAACACATAGGGAAGCTGAATTCCACTGAGAGGGCCAAGCCTGAAGACAAAGGAAAGTGCTGGAAGGGTCTTGGAAAGAGAAGCAGGCAGCACACATCTTGTCAATGGAACAGTCTTCTGTCCTGCAGCTGCTCTTCTTCTTGTATAAAAGTCATCCTCTTTGCTTACAATACAAAAAGGAGAAGTGAAGCCAGCTCAGTGCACACGAGACATGAAGTTCCTTGGTAAAGAAATCCAGCTACATATGCATCATTCTGTTTAGGGGCAGTTCTTTATAATTTGTGTTCAGGTGTCCACTACATCTCCCCCTTGCCACATTGTTTTCCTCTGCTGTCTGATGTATGTTCTTCCTTGCACTGCCCTATCTCACCTCTGACTGTGCCCTGTGTACCTTCTGTGCTAGCTCCCTGGATGTGTCGGGCTACTGTCTCATTCTGATCTGTCTTGAGGAGATTCCAGCTAGCCAAACTAAACAAAGAAAGCTTCATCCTTCTTCTTTATGGTTGTTTTGGAGACCTTATTGTGTCTTTCCAATACTTAGAGGGGGCTTATAAGAAAGATGGAGAGAGACTTTTTACCAGCACAAGACAAGGGGCAAAGGTTCTAAACTGAAAGAAGCTATATCTAGATTAGATATAAGGAAGAAATTCTTTACTCTGAGAGTGGTGAGACACTGAAACAGGTTACCTGCAGAAGTTGTGGATGCCCCATCCCTGGAAGTGTTCAAGGCCAGATTGGACGGGGCTTTGAGCAACCTGGTCTAGCGAAAGATGTCCCTGCCCATGGCAGGGGGGCTGGACTAGAAGATCTTTAAAGGCCTCTTCCAAACCATTCTATGATTCCTACATCCTACCTGCTGACTGAACCCTTTTCACCCTTTTTCTCCAGCATATCCTGACCCATTGACATTTCTTCTCAGAAGACTTTCTGATTCAGCATGTATCTCAGCAGCCATTTCCCTTAATTGTGTCTTTTCAACATCTGCCCCAGATTGAAATCAGACTACACATTTTCCCCACCGTAATATCAGAGGCCTTTACCAGAAAGCAGAAAAGGGAGATAAATGATAGTGTTGGAGCAATACATACAAACCAACCCTTTTCAGCCTCAAAAATAGAGCCTGTGATAGAGACGTCTCTGTGTGTGCTCTTCCCAATAACTTTTCAAATCATCAACACCCTTTTATTTTTTTTTAATTCCACTTTGCTTGTTCTCCTTCCCGACCCTGGCCTCATCCTTCTCTGTTTCTCCTGAGATATATCAAACTTTTGTGCCTGGGATTGCCCCACCCACATGCAGGACCTTGCACTTGGCCTTGTTGAACTTCATGAGGTTTGCACAGGACCGCCTCTCAAGCCTGTCCAGGTCCCTCTGGATGGCATTCCTTCGCTCTAGCGTGTCAACTGCGTCACACAGCTTGGTGTTGTTGGCAAGCTTGCTGAGGGTGCACTCAATCCCATGCTGCCAGCAAAGATGTTAAACAGCACTGGTCCCACTACTGACCCCTGAAGAACATCACTCATCACTGTTTTCCACCTGGACATCAAGTCATTGACTGCAACCCTTTGACTGCAACAATCCAGCCAGTTCCTTATCCACCGAGTGGTCCATCCATCAAATTCATGTCTCTTCAGTTTAGAGAGGATGTCCAGTTTTAGAGACGATGTCCAGTTAGGACAAGGATGTCGTGTGGGACAGTGTCAATTTCTTGTCTGAGATTTGTTCTACTGCTAGCTGCCAACTGGGGCTGACTTCCCAGGATGAGACATATCATCCAATATTTGATGTAGCAAACGCAGCTTAACCACAGTGAGGGCGGAGGGCATTTTGTATTGAGCTGTGTGGCAGGTTAAACTGGGCTCAGACCAATGATAGCTGTAAACCTAAGAGCAATGGTAGAATTACAAACAGACAAAGGAAGGCATGAAGATTAGGGAAGGAGAGAGAGTTGAAAAAGAAGGGTGAAAAAAGAAAAAAAAAAACCAACAAGAAATCTTTAAAAAGAAACCTATCAGCTGAGAATCTGATATGGGGAAAGAGGAGTGCAACTTCCTCTTCAGTTGTTAGGTTCTCATTTTTCTTTTCTGTCTCAGAAGTTTCCATAGTGCTGGGGCTGATTTCCTGGGCTAAGAAACTGAAGATCTGTTCAGAGCATTTCTGAGCTCCCAGGAATTCTCAGGTTATTGCCAGTGCTTCCAATGTTCAGCACAGCCTTCATTGACAGAGGGTGAATGAGCAGATGGGAAAAACTCAGTAACTTATTGGAGTCTCCGTCTGGAAGCACGGAACAAAAAGGCCCACCTTTTACATACCAAAACTAAGGACAGGGATCATTGATCGCACTGTAATTAAATGGCATCAGAAATCACCTACGCTGAGGTGAAGTTCAAGAATGCACCACCAGCTGCAGCAGTTGAAGGTAAGGAATGGGTGGGTTATTCAGAGGAAGGGGACTTGGAGAGATGGGGACCGAAGAACAGGGAATGGAGTTGTTTCCTTCTGTGACTCTGGTTCCTACCTGGTCTTGACAAATTGGTGAGAAAAAGGAGTTGTCTACCACTACACGAGCAGGAGACTGGAGGAGGTCTGAAGAGGGTCAAGGAATGTCTGCAAGAGGAGAGGTGGGAATCTTTAGGTGACTGAAATTGCAACACGGGCAAAGATGACTACTTGGAGCACAAACAGTAGGTTTCAAGTGAGCATTCAGTGAGGAAAGTATTTGGGCTCCTTTAGTCCCCTGGTTACAACATCAACAGTGGTGAATGGTAGAGGGTCCAGGATGAGTGCTTAGCCCTGGTACGATGCAGGCAGCAGCTGGGTCTCTGTATGTTATCTAGTCTTGGATGAGAGAGTTACTTTTGCACAAATACTAAGTACCAACAATAGAGATTATGGTTTATTACAAGGAATCTGTCACAAAGATGGAGGGGCTCCCAGGGCAGTAAACGGCTGCAAACAAGCCCAAGCCCTGGCTGCTACTGCTCCTGCCTTTGAGAGAGTGAGGTTACAGATTCCTACTTATGGAGAGAGCAGGAGTAGAGAACGAACATGCCCCCTTACAGTAGAGTAGTCAGTTGCCGTCTGTAACTTCATGAGAGGTGGCACTGGCTGCAGAAGCTCATAGTCCTTGGTTGAGAAATGGTCTTTGGGGAAGAGACACCCAAAAATTAAAAGGAAGAATGGGCTTAAACAAAACACCCTAAAGTACACGGAAGTATAATTGTGTGCAATTGGGAGGAAGATCCAATTCTGTGATTGATCTCTATCACTCCTGAAAAATAATTAACATGCCAAACAAACAAATTTTTATTGCTATTAAAATTGACGGTTGTAAAATGGTGTCTTTACTAGACTTTGTGCAAATTTAAGACATGTTCTCATTAGTATGTATTCTGTAGTCATTTTGCCGCAAGTAGGAACACATAGAGATGTTCCATGTATGGCTCATTGCTTCCATCCTTAGATACAGAACCCCCCACAACAGCAGGTTCCAGAGGGGTGAAAGTACGTATGTGTAAATGAATGAACAAATAAATAAATAACTATTATTGCTGCTAAGGATATTAAATTGCCTATTTACCACTCAGTTTTATAATCCCAAACAGAGCAGGTATCAGCTCCAGGTTATTCCTTGCCTGCTCTGAGGAAGGAATCACGGAAATAAAGAATGTACATACTCCTGACAGACTTGAAAGCTCACTGTTCTTTGATGCACCAAGATGAGCTGGTTCTGTTTACAGCTGGCATTTCCATCATGGTGTGTGTGTGTGTGTAGAGGGGTGGAAGCTGCCCATTGTGTTCCCAGTGACCCATTCCAAAGACACCTGATCCAGCCACCTTTGTCTGAGTTGCTGATGGCAGTCTCATGCTATAGGTTTGGGTGTGTGCTTGAGGGACTCTTGCTGCTCTGTTGTCTTTCTGAGTGGTTACTCTGGCCATGCAGACTCCATGTTGGTAATGGCCAAGCTCACCTGGATTTTCCCATTCTATAGCCTCTTCTAGTTGGGCTCTAGAGATAACAAAATTGGCAGTCATTGGAAGATAGAAAGGAGAAGGCAGCAGCTAATCAAACAACATATAATCTGTGGCACCAGGTGGCAGAGACTGCCAGGGTGGGTTTCACAGCACAGGGCAGTTAGGGTTCCTGCATTTCCAGTCAGGATTTCCCAGGCAGAAACACAGGCATCTGCGCTGCACAGCACTTGTTGCACTTGGCTAGGAGATGTTGGATTATGTGCTGAATACCCAGCATATTCTGATCAGGCCTGTTGTGTTGTCATCATGCTGGATACATTATAAGCACACAGACCAACTGTAGGAAAGATTTTGCAGGGAGATTAACCCACTAAGTATGCAGAAAATCTGCTGCCCTTCAGTGGTGTTGGTGAGGTGCGTGCATACTGGTCTCTGTGCCACCTGGGTGTGAGTATAGGATGCACAGATCTGGATGGGCACAGGTTGAATAGTCAATCTGTGGACGTGCAGCACATCAAAAAATCATTTGGACTGGTCAGATCTATTTTCTAAAATAGGTGGCTGGACTCCAGATCATGATCCAGGTCCTTGTTTTCACTACAGACAAAAGTTCTGGCTAGAAAAACATGATTTGGATAGGGAAATCTGATCTTGTCTGTCTATGAATGTTTTCTCTTCTGATAATGAAAGATGATGGTTTTTGCCCTGCTGTAACAGCCGCTCCCAGCCTTCTAGGAAGTACTCAGAGAGCTTCCCCAAACATCAGGTTTCTGGAAGTCTTGCTCACTAGGCATGGCTGGCAGGCACACATGGCTGCTCATGGATTTGGGAATTTTGTGATGAACAACGAATGAGGTCTCTCGAAAGCTTATCATTAATATCAGTCTCTCTTAAAACTTTACTCATATCCTGCAGTGAGCACTGCTGTCTCTTTACCCTCCTGTTTGCCCTAGCTTATGTACCCATCACAACCTAGAACAGTCTCCTAACAAGCGTTTGCTTCTCCTTCCCTGTGACCTATTCTCCTGCCTGCTCCCAAACCTCCTCAGTACTGGCAGTGTCCCTCTAGTCAAAAAGTCAGGCCCTGGAAAGTCTGAATCTGAGTGGCATATTTTACTCAGGCTGCCAGACACAGCCCTCTGTTCTCCCCAGGCATCCAGCCAGGCACAGCCTAGTTTTACTACAACAAATGTCTGAACCCTGGCTTGGAGAGCAGAGATAGAAGGGGGATTTTTTTTTTCCTCTTCCAGTGATTCTGTGCCTTTATGGCTTTGCACATTTTTTGTCTTCTGCCCTCATTCAGCTTACAGCAACCACCTTCTACACAGAAAACCCAAAAAACTAAGAAGGAACTGAAGCAGGCGTTGACTTCTCTGGGGAGAAGTCAACATGAAATCTTCATGTGAATGTTTCAAGTATCACGAATAGAGCAGTGTTGTATTTGGGAACTCTAGGCTCAGTCTGGAAAGACATGGTTTCACTCCAGATTTTGAGGCCACATGAAGGCCTCACCCCCAAACACCAGCAATTAGCATTTCTAGCTCATCAACAGCGCTGGGGCTGTGAACAGTGTCACTGAACCTGACCTTCTCTGGAAACCACAGAGGTCCCTTGCTCTCTCCCAAACTGTGTAACCTCCACATCAAAACTGAAATTGCATTTTTTTTTAGCAGCTCTCCCTTGAGTTGTACATCCTTGGTATGTGGGCTGACTGAAGCATAGTTGACTGCTGTTGTGTTTGGTGTGTTCCTTCACTTTTAGTACCTCCTGAGACCAAAAAGCATGAGGACCATCCCCAGAAATACCCACCTTGGCTCCCATGGCTGATCTCATTGCTGCTCCTTTTGGTGTGCATTGCCCTTGCTCTTGCTCTCCTTGGTGAGTATGTGCAGTCTGGTTACAGGAGAGAGGTCTGGGGGAAGTGCTGGGAGAAAAGCAGAGAATTCAGAGCCTAGAGGGGAACATCTTCCAACCAGAAGGGAACTTCTACTCTGGAACTGTTTTGTTGTGAGAAAGCGTGCAAGCACCAACATTTGGGCTTGGAAAACCCAAGTGTTGAATATTTGAATGGTATGTTTAGGAGAAAAATCTTTCCTGACTATTTAAACATAGGGGATTTAGGGGCACAGCTGCAACATGACGCAAACTTCTCTCTTGCAGGCCAGCCAAACCAGATATTTTGGCCAACTGGTATGCAGGAGCTAGGACTACCACAGCATTATGCTAGATGGTTCTGTTGCACACATTGTCTTCCTTAGAATGACGGAGTTAGGTGGGAAGGGACTTCTGGAGGTCTCTAGTCTAATGCCCTACTTGAAGCATGGCCATCTTCAGAGTTTCAGGATTGCTTGGGCTTTCTGTAAGGTCTCAGGCTTTTCTGTCCTGACTTGGTATATGTCTGCATACATCCCCCAAATCTTCCAGTGTTTACCCTGAGGCCTTTTCAGTGTTCACAGATTGCACATCCTCATCTTGCATGGCCTCTTTGGAACCATGGAACAATTCTCTACCTGCAGAGCACACAAAAAGAACTTAATTACATTCAGTAGAGGGGAAAAAACCTGGAGATGGCGGCACAAGTGTGTATACAGGCAGCTGGACCCACACTTGAACTCTCTAAGGTGCTTTGACACATGCTGTGTCCTAATGGAAAAAACATCTTTTTACAGTTAGTCCTGGCATATCCAGGATTAACTGCACAGTGCGAACTCTCACATCTTTTTAGTGTTAACTGCATTCCACTAGAATAATTGATTAAAGTGGTTCTTGCACACAAATTTTGTGGAGGTTGTGATCACTGTTTCATTCTCATTTTCTGCTAAGGATCATTCATGGCATGTTTGCACAAAGTGTCACTAAAGATGATGGATTCTGGAAGAAGACATGTTGCCAGGCTAAATTCATAGAATCATAGAATGGCTGCCCTTGTCTTTGCCTTTCTCTTTGCTGTTATTACTTCCCAAGTCCTAGAAGCTTGTCTTGCTTTGTTCCCAAATGTTTAACTTTTCACAATACTCTGTTAAATGACTGGAGAGGTTTAGGGTAAGCCGTTAAGAATCTAATACTCTCTGGCCAGGCTCTTTTAGCTATTCCACACACGGAAGGTTTAATCTTTAATGGCAAATTTACTTATCCAAGTTAACTGATGTTACATAAGGTTTTGATTTAGCACAGTGATACAACAATGCATTTAAATAAAAACACAAGTACAATTGCACTTAGCAGAGGGTAGCGATTGCAATGCACAGGTGAATCACAGTACAAATGTAATTCTCATTGCTAGTCTCTGCAATATGCTAAGGGTCAAGACACTGGGTGTCCCCAATGACCCAGAAGGAATTATGTAGGTTAAAACCAGCTCAGGTCCATTACATTCTTCAGACTTGTTTTTGTTATTCATTCAGTTTTTTCAATATTTTGGGCCAAGCCACATATACACTCACCCCATGTTGGTCTGGCTAACTCAGGAAGACATTGCCATCTTTTTGATTTTTTAGAGGGATGAACAGTTACACAGCTGGTCAATTCACACAGCTGACAAAACTGGTTGATTCATTCAACTGAACTAGAACAAAGGCCACTGTTTGGTCCCCTTTGTGTTGAGACAAGGTCACCTTTCTTTGCAAAAGGTGTGGTCAGCCATGCATTGCCCATCTCCTGTGAGCCTTCTTCCATTGTAGGCACATCATCAGGCAAAGAGGCCGCTATGATTACTCTGCCCTCCTCACTACTGACAATATTTCTCAATGAAACCATGGATAAAAATAGACTTATTACTTAGTACACCCTGAGCAGCTTCCAGTCAATACCCCGGCATGTTTGAGTTAGTGATAAGTCCTTTGGGTTGTGATATGGCCTGCTGACATTTGCCACCAACGCTATATTATTCCCCATAAAGTGGCTATTAAGTTCTAGGAGTTTACCTTCCACCCTGGTTGCAGCAGCTCTAGCTGTGTGTGATTACCTTCACCTGCACTGTCTTTGTTGCTGATGAAATAGGCCCATGTGATGTGTTACTCATCCAAACTACAGTTGATGTCTGGCTTAGGAAGAGAGAAACCGTGTCACTGAGGTGCTGCTTTTTATTCAGTGACTGTAAAGAGATGTAATCAGGCAGCTTGGCTGTCGGTATCTACCTGGTAAATGCCTGTGGTTGGGTGGAATCAATCGCACCCTGTGTGGCATGTCCACAGTGTTATGTCCTCCCGGTGGTCCTTCTGCTGTCTGACATGGAAGATTGTCTCTTTCCGCCTGTGACAGCAGCCATACCGCTTGTCCAGGCTAGTTTTCTTAGACCCATGGACCAGGGATACACTAACCACACACCTTCAGCTCCACAGAACCCAAGGGGGCCTGATGACAGCTGCTCGGTGATGGGACAGATTCTGCTGACAAACCACAGGCTGGCTACGAACACCAGGCACTCCTTGGGGGGTGGCAGGCTTCTCTAGCTTTGGTGGCCAGGTCATCCTTGCTAGATCTTGTCAGTCAGTGGGTAGAGGAGTCCTTGCGGGCAGCTGTGGCATGCTGGGAGGAGAAATGCCTGTGCCCTTGGCTGAGAGGTGGCAGTTACCACTTGTGAAATGGAAAAAGGCAGCGCGAGGAGAGGCAATGCTGAGACAGTGCTTGGTGGGGAAATGGGGAAACAAGAGTGAAGCCCAGAGGGGGTGTGTGGGGAGCTGCCAGGAAGGGGTAATCCTGCCGCATTTCCTCTCCCTTTCCAGTTGTTCCCTTGTTCCATAGTGCCGACCAGCCCACAGCCCTGCAGCAGAATTTCGTGGAGTGGGAGTGCATCACAACGGTGCCCCAAGGCAAAGGTCAGGAGTGCTGAGAGGGGTGCAGGAGGTCTTTGGGACGGGGACAATGAATGCTGGGGTCTGCTCTGGCAGCAAGCAGCAGTGGGACCAGACTCTGGAGAGACATACTGCAGAGGAGAGAGGTAGGAAGAAAAAGGATTTCCTGCTAACAGCTTAGGGGGAGGAGAGGGCCATGTCAATGATGTCCTGGAGGGCAGGATGGCTGTGAACACAGACAAAATAATAAAAAAAAACCCAAACCAAAAAACACACGTCCCTGCACAGGGAAGGTTAACAGTGGAGCAATAACAAAAGTGCAGCTCTAGTCAGGGAAAGAAGCAATATTGCCTGTTGCTGGGGCTAAAGGTCTAAAGGAGAGCATACAAGGAGAACTCAAACCAGATCACCAAAATAACTTTGTCTTTCTCAAGTCAAGACCTGAGACCATGTTACAAGGATTACCTTGGATTTTTCTACCCAAAGCTCACTGGTCATACCCGAAAACAATGGGGAGAAATACCTAGACTATCCTTGTTTATTCAAGCCCTTTCTGTCAGGAAAAGTGATCTGAGGAGAACATGAGCATTGTCCCCAGGGGTCCTTGCAGTCACCATCTCTCTCGTTATTAGCGTTCACATCTGCGGTCTCTCCCCACACAGAGCGAGTCTTGAGGTGCTGCCCCAAGGGCTGGATACGCTTTCAAGAAAAGTGCTATTACCTGTCGGATGATGAAATGTCCTGGGATGAGACTGTGCGAAACTGCACTGGGATGGGCTCCCACCTGGTGGTGATCAACAGCGAAGCAGAGCAGGTAGGTGTGGGACTGAGCAGGGGGCACAGCAGCCAGAGACACAGTGCCAGGCCCTGGAGGGGACTCAGATGCCCCCCTTGCTCCTGCAGGGGAGGGGGGATGTCCTTTCTGCACCCCGTCAGCACTGGCTCCCCTCTGACACCACTCCCACCCCACAGGGACTCCTGCTGCCTCCTTCTGCTCAGTCCTGCACCTCATGGACATTGCACTCTCCCTCATTTCCAGGTTTTCCTCACTAAGGAGCTACAGAAGTTTCCACAAGGAATAAATTTCTACATCGGTCTGACTGCAGAGGCTGTGGGCAAGTGGCAGTGGGTGGACCAGACTCTACTTAATGAGAAGGCAGCGTAAGTATCCCCAGATGGAGAGTGTTTGGTGTGGCTCCTGGCAGTGTGAGAGAGTAGGAGAGATGTGAGGGTGTCCGTGGGTGCATGAAAGTGAGGTGAGACAACTCCCTGTGTGAGGACAGTGATGGAGCAGGAGAGGGCTGTGTAGGGACACCATGTTGACAAAGGCCCCATCCATGTTGGTTAGTGGATGTTAGTTAACCACCTGTGACATGGCCATTCATGCTGTAGGCTCAGATGAAGCTGCTCTCGCCAGCAGGAAGAACCCTTCAGAGATGAGCAGCCTTGTCTGACACCCATACAGCCCCCACCATGCATGCGTGCACATGTATGCACGGGCATGGCCAGTGCTGTGACGCTGTGGAAGAGATGGGTCACAGGGAGAAATCACCAAGGCTGTCCTTGCCGTGCCTCCTTCTGGAGGACAAACTTGCCCTGGAGGCAGACACATGTGTCTTGTGGGTGCAAAGTGCGCGGAGTGAGGGGTGGTGAGCGGCTCCCCCCACCATGAGTGAGCAGGGCCCTGTTGTGTCGGCTGTAGGAAGAAGGCGGGTTTCCACATAAGACTGGTGCCAGTGGGATAGCAGAGCGGGAGGAAGAGTACTGCTTCTGTCCATGAATCAGCATGTGGAATTGTTCTCTCTCCCTCCAAGCCTTGCATCCTGCTGTGGCCTGTTCCAGCAGTGCTCTACAGAGTTTGCTGGGGAGTAACATGTCTGTCTCTGTCTCAGGTTCTGGCGGAGAGGGGAACCAAGTAATGTGCCTGTTGAGAAGTGTGTTGCAATCCATACGAGTCCAGAAATTCACAACTGGAATGATTCCCGATGCGAGAGCCATCATCGAATTTGTGAAGTTGCAGCACCAAGTTTCTAGGACCAACTCTCATCCTGAGTAAAACTGAGAGATGAGCAGCGAGCTGGAAAGTGCTTAGGGCTGTGTTGGGAGGCATGGGGGTCCCCAAATTCTACATTTTCTCTCTGCTGGGTGGGACACAGTGAGTGGAAGTGATATTACCCTGTGTCCAGCATCCCTTGTGCATGTGTTGGCTTGGGGAACACATTAAGGCTCAGGGTCATCAAAGCAGGTCCTGGGCTCTTGTGTCCTCTTCTCTCTGAGTGGGTCCGGCAGCCACTGAGTGAAAAGAGGTTGAGTTCTCCAGGAAGAAGGCAGAGGAATGGAAGACCCATGTTCAGAGCTGAAATTTCCTTTGTCTCCTTGAGCAGAGGTGTCTGCTTTTTCTTGGGTCTCACAGAGAATGTCCTCTGGTTGCATGGGTTTTGCTGAACAAATACCAATTTGCTATACAAAAGAAAATACCACATTAGACCAATAAAAAACCCTCGTGCTGTGTGTTTGTCTCTCTCTCTATTTCCCTCTCGAAGTTGCAGGGGTTTTATAAAAGCAGGATCAAAAGATGTTGCTGCGCCAGGATAGAGCCTTATAGAACTACTGCACGTAGGTTGCATCCAGCCAGTGAGAGTAAACCCCTCAGAGACAATGTGGCTACACAGTCCCATTGCACACAGCCAAAGCTCTGGAGAGGACCGGCCCCGGGAAAGCAGCTCTGGGGATCTTATGAGTGTGTGTTTCCATGGCTGAAAGTCTTGCCTGGGAGGGGAACAGGAGCTTGTGTCAGGAGTCTGACCCACGTGTGGTTGACCAAGTGTGAGCAGAACAGGGGAGAATTTGTACTGGAGACAAGGTGGTCAGGAGATTTGGCTTCCTAAGATAATACACGGGAGGAGTTCTGTCAATGGCGGTGTGTGGTGTCAGGAGCTGCTGAATGCCATAGCCCAGCAGAGGCAAGGCTGCTGCTGCTCCAGGTCCCCAGCTCCAGCCAGTAGTGAGACTGAGCGTGTGTGTACAATACGTACAGACACATATAGAAGAAAAAGGACACGTACACATAAGCAGCCACACAGGTCAACACAGACAGAAAGCACTGATGCAAACCCTGTTCCCCTCTCTGGCTGCCAAGCAGGATGAAAGGCCGCTAGCAGAAAAAATGCATCCTTACACAATGTGGACCCCTCCAGTAGCAAGGCTTCATCATTCAGGCAGTCCACAGCTGACCCCTACGTCCCCTGGTCTTGCCTCTTCTCTTCAGAGTTGTGGTGAGCATCACTACCTGCCAGGTCTGAACACACTCCTCTTGTCTTGGCTGTAGGGAGAAGGCAGGTTTCCATGTGGGACTGATGCCACTGGGATTAGCGGAGTAGGAGTGATTCACTCAGGGGTTTCTGGATGAATCAGCATCTGGAAGAGTTCCATCTCCATGTCTGTCTGAGCCCTGGACCCCCAGGTCCTAGACCCGACCTTTTCCTACAATGCCTGACAAGGCCACGCTGGAGAGTAATATGTATCTGGTTCTGGAGGCCTGGGGAACAGACTAATGTAAATGATGCGGCGTGTATTGGAAGGCAGAAGTACACCAGAGCTGGAACAATCTTCCACATGAGTGAGAGCCCTTGTCTTCAAATTTCTGAAGCTGCAGCATCAACTGTCTGATGTGGGAAACCTCATCCTCTGTAAAACTGATAGACAAGCAGAGACCTGACATGAACACAGAGGATTTTGGGGATGGGTGTGAATGCTGAAGTCTGTATCTTCATTTTGCTGGCTGAACAGATGTCCTGGAATGAAAGCAAGGACACCGGTACAGGGTTGTGCTCCCACATGGTGGTGATAGATACAGAAGCAAATCAGGTAAGTGGGATTATTCCTGTAGGAGTCTTTCAAGCAGATCCTCAAGGTCTCCAGTGTCTGCTCTCATGAAGTCTCTGGTTGTGATCCTGGGTTTTGCCCTGGTCCCTCCTCAAAAGATCCTGAACTCCAAAGTCTCATAGTCACAGCAGCCAAGCCTGCTCCCAACCTTTATATCCCAAACCAGTTCTTCCTCATTTCTAAGTGTGAGATCCAGCAGAGCACATCTGCTCATCAGTTCCTCCATAACCTGTGTCAGGAAGTTGTCATCGAGGGACTCCAGAAACCTCCTGGATTGCTTGTACCTTGCTGCCAAAAACAAAGCTTGGAAACTGCTGCACAAACTGCTAAGCCTGCTGGCTGCCTCTGTAGCTGCACTCTCATGCATACTGCTGGGGCTCAGGACTGTCAGCTTGGTCCTCAGTCCTTGAAAGTGCAAAGCACATCGGGAAGAACTTTGTGTGAGATTAATTCTCTCTTCCTGTATTGTCACAGCTGGTAGGAATTCCTCTGTATTTTTGCCTTTCACTTTGTCGATATTCCCTTCTAGACTGTTTGCCTTTGTTTGACTCTTGCAGATAAATCTTTCCCTTCAAGTAATTCTTAATTCAAGAAAACTGGAAAGCAGGACTCCCCAGGGCATCCAAGTTGATGGAGAAACTGCCATCAACCCCTGAGGATGAGTTAACTCGACCCAACAAGCTAATTTCTGAATGTGAGCACGCTTGCTGTTCTTTTTTGGTGCTTGGAACCCTCTCATGCATTCTCCAACCTGCTTCAAGTGTCTGGTTGCTTCTAAAACCAGGTGCTTTCAGTGCTCCCAACACATGGTTCGCTGTATTTCCAACTCTTAAATATGAGCTGCAATTAATTTCTTGTGTGGTATAATTTAGCAGAAAAAGATGATGACGTTTTATCTTTCAGCTTCTGGCTTTCAGCTTCTCAGATCCTGAGTACCTCTGAGGGAAATTGCATTCTATGTCTTCTCCTGCAACCTTGAGACCTGCAAGACACTCTGCAACTGCAATATTTTCCTTAGTTCATGTCCCATTGATCTTGTCTGTATCCATGCCATGCTTGTTGACTCTTGTCTATACTGCAAAGGTCTGTGAAAGTAGACTCAAGGTTCTCTAGAGCCTCTTCTAGGAGTGCACTTGTTATAATCAAGTACGTCTGTCTTCAGTGGTTCAGGGGCAGGAGTCCCCAGCAATTCTGCACTGCCAGGTGCCACCCTGTTGTCCCAGCACACTGTTCTGACACATATATTTGTGAAGTGAAATAACCAAGGGTAACTCATGAAGCTTTTCATGACTGGAGCAGGTAAAAAAACAGTTGAGAATCTTTACTTACAGAACTGTGGAAAGATGTACAGGAAGTCTGAGGTCATTGATACATGCTGTTCCCAAGCATGCTGCTAGTGTTTATGGAGCAGGAAAGAGAAATAAGTTCCTGCCATTTTGGAAATATAAAATATTTGCAATGGTTCCAGAGCCTTCCTCTGAGGAGGTAACCTCTCCCATCACTGGTCCCAGCTGCCAGGTACCAGGAGTTTCTGTGCAGGCCAGTGCAGAGTTTGGCTTCTGTTGCCACTTTGAGACACTTCATCCTGGAGTGGGACAGAGCTGTTAGTTACCCAACTGTTGTGAGGGCAGCCATTGATTTGCTGGGAAGAGTAGCTTGGTTTGTGATGCTGAAAAGAAAGTCGTTTACTGTCTCTCTGCTTTAGACCCTCTGCAAACACCAAAGTGAATTCATTGAAGGTGCTTGCACAGACCTTCATCTTGGTCAGATGGCCTGGATAGCAACAACTGATAAAATAAGAATGTGAATGTAAACAGCTATGTGAATCGAATACCTGAAACTATCTGAGAGGGCTTTTACCCCAAACCCACTATTATTAAAGAAGAACATGACCACCAGCTTAACAGTAACCAGGGAATTAAAGGCTTTGGAGACAGAGTCAGTCTGAAAACAAAGTTTAGAAGGAGCAAGACATTCTCAACAGAGAGAAGAGGGAGAAGTGGGAAGGAAGTGGCAGTGGAATCCTGGTTTGACATTTGCCCTGCAACTTTGCAACCTCTGTCTGTAACAGAGCATTCTTCCTGTTGGATGCCATGGGTAGTCTGCATTCCTAGCAGTAAGGGGTACAATATGTACAGACCCACAACTTCAGCGTGCATACGTGACCTTGTGCTTTCTCGCTGGCCTGTGGGTTAGCAGTCTGTAGGAAGTGGGTACACATGAACCCTATATCTCCAGCAGGAAGTTCGTGAGATTAGGGGAAGCCCTGCTCCCAGAAAAGGGGACGTGTTCCTGCAGCCTGCACTTCCTGTGGTGAGGGTGGGTTGCACAAGTAATCATGTGAATATGCGTCTAGCTGGGGGTTAGAGCTTTTGGGGATTAGTTGCGTAAAGATGTTTAGAAATGTGTAGGTGTTTATTAATATTTTGTGTCTGGTATTGTGCTTTACCCGTTGGACTGCTGATACTGATCCTGAATATACGGGTCATGGTTTATCAGTTAGTTAGTTACATGCTGTGAATAAATCAGTAAACTGCTTAGATCCATCCTGATTAGATTTAAATCACATGAACTTAACACATTTTCCTTCTGACAGTTTTGCACCCTCTGCACTCTCCAGACCGATCCAGCTGAAGTCAGCTCCCTGTCCATATGCGCAAAACCAGGTAAACTTTAGAGCAATAGCAAACACAATGCGTTCTCATTTTTGGGGCATCTGTAGTGCAGTTCAGTTCTGTTCTCCAGCATGATGGCTGAAAACTTTCTAAAATGTCACTTGAGAATCTCTCACTGTACTGTGAAACCAGTAGCTAGTGCCTTCTAGCAGCTCATACCTTCTATGACAATACCAGCAAGCACATGTATGGACCATCTTTCCAATGCAACAGAGCTGTTGGATGGTTCAACCCTGCCTGCAGCCTGCTGTGCATGAATAAACATACTCAGAGAATATTTTCTACACAAAATTTAGGCTTGTCCTCATATGTAACCAGCATTGGGCCCTGCTCTTTTAAGTCTTCAACTGATGCATTTGTGCTATTTTTTTACCTACCCATTCCTTCCTCAGTCCATCCGTGCTCGCCTCTTCACGTGGAGAAACTAGCTGATGGAATATGGAAGATCAAAGGCTGCATACCCACCCCGGTCCG